TTTTTCAGGGATAATAAGCACACAAGGAAACAGTAATGAAATGACTAAAACAACATTTAATGAAATAGATATGCAAAGACTTCAGATATTGGAAATATTATATATAGATTATAAAATAACAATGGTTATTCTATTTAAACAAATAAAAAGATGACCCTGAAAGTATCTGAGAGAAACAGGTAACTCTAAAAAGAAATGTTGCATATTTGTAAAATATCTTCTAAAAATAAAAAATGTAATAATGAAATTTAAAATTCTAAGCATATTAAGCATTACTAAAGAGTGATTTAGAAGAAAAAGAGAGAAACATGAAGATAGAATATTTGAAGAAATACTGACTGCAAAACTTCTCAAATTTGATGAAAATTATTGATACATGCAAGAATCTTAACAAAACTTCAAGTTGGATAAATTCAAAGAGAACCACAACTAGACATATTATAATCAAATTGTCAAAAGAACACAGAAAAACTGGAAGGCAGCAAAAGAGAAGCATCTCATTATATACAATAGAATCTCAATAAAATTAAAAACCAATTTTTTTATCAAAAAACATAGAGGTTAGACACAATGGGATGACATATCTAAAATACTGAAAGAAATAGATTATCAACCGAGAATTCTACATCCAGTAAAACTACCCTTCAAAATGAAGGAATAAAAAAAGACATTCTCAGATAAAAAACTGAGAGAATTTGTCACAGGCAAACCTGCCATACAAGAAATATTAAAGGGAATTCTTGAGGCTGAAATGAAAGGACACTAGACAGTAACTCAAATTCACATGAAGAAATAAAGAGCACTAGTAAAAGTAACTAAATAGGTAAATGTAAGAAGCAGTATAAACATATTTTTTTTAGTTAAAAACTTTATTATATCTCCTGATTTTTAAAATAACTGCATAAAAATTATTATAAGTAGTGTCGATGGGCATAGACTATATATAAAGATATAATATGTATGAATGTAACAGCACAAATAGGGAAGGATGGAATGGAGATATATGAGACCGAAGTTTTTGCATACTATTGTAATTAAGTTGTTTTTATTTTGAACTAGATTGTTAATGTTAGATTTTAATTGTAATCCCTAGGGAACCCAATAAAAAACATACCAAAAAACAAGCACTGAAATAAAACTGAAAATTAAAAAAAAAAAAAAAACTTAAAAGAAATGATAAAGTAATTAAAATGATGTAGTACTAAAAGATATTTAATACAATAAAAAGGCAGTAATGGATGGATAAAAGAATAAAAAAATGTAAGGCATATAGAAAAAATAGCAAAATGTAGATATAAATCATTCCATGTCAGTAATTATATTAAATGAAGTAGATTAATATCTTTAATTAAAAGTTGGAGATTGGAAGAATAAATTTTATGTTTTTAAAAAGACACATACTTTAGATTCAAAGACATAAATAGCTTGTAAAGAAAAGGATGGGGAAAAGATGCAACACACAAATTGTATCCAAAAGAGAAATGGAGTGGCTATACACTAATATCAGAAAATCATAGACTTTAAGACAAAATTTGCTACTAGAGACAAAAAAGGATATTTTACAATGATAAAAGGATTGATTCATAAAGAAGTTATAACAATTATAAATATATATACCTATGAATAAAGCCCCAAAATATGAGGTTAAACTGACAGAATTGAAAGAGAAATTGACAACTCAACAATAATAATAGTTGGAGAATTCAATATCCCACTTTCAATAATGAAAAAAGTTAGAAAGATCAACAAGGAAATAGAAGACTTGCTCACTATAAAGCAACTGAACATCTATAGAACACTCAACCTAACAACAGCAGAATACATATTCTTCTCAACAGCACATGGAACATTCTTCAGAATAGGCCATATATTATGCCATAAAAGAGGCCTCAATAAAGTTAAAACTATTGAAATCATAAAAAATGTTTTCTGACTAAAATAATAAAATAAGATATAAATAACAGAGAAATTTGGAAAATTCACAAATATGTGGAAATTAAACAGCATACTCTCAAATAACAAATATGTCAAAATATCACAAGGGAAAGTAGAAAATACCTTGAGATGAATGAAAATAAAAACACAACATACCATAACTTATGGGATTCAGCCAAAACAGTGCTTAGAGGGAAATGTATAACTGTACATACTTGTATAAAAAAGAAGATCCCAAATCCATAATCTATTCTTCCACCTTAAGAAACTAGAAAAAGTAAATAAAACTAAACCCAAAGTAAGCAGAAGGAAGAAAAAAGGAAAAATTAGAGCAGAAATAAATGAAATAATAGAAACACAATATAGAGATTCCCATTCATTTTTGTAATACTTATGGCTGTTTTCATGCTACAAAAGTAGAGCTGAGTCATCAAAATAGAGAACATATAACCCACAAAGTCTAAAATATGTCTTATTTAGCCCTTTATAATAAAAGTTTGGAAGACTTCTGGTTTTAGCTAGAACATGTAAAGAACTTGAAAGTCTTCACTCTCATCCTTACAAGCCAAAAGGTAAATGAACTGAAATAAAAGACTTTTCTTAGGCCCTTTATGGAATTAAGATCACAAAGCAAACTGTCACCCAGAAATTTGAGAGAAAGGCAAATACAGATGATCACAGCTAAAATCTGCTTATTTGGAGCAAAAGATGCTAGAACCTTAAATTGTTACAAACACTGAAGCGATAATTTTGAATTCCTGGAGGCCGAGTGTGGACTAGCTCAAGTTTGAGAAACTCCTTGGGGGCCCAATCTTAGGGAAACCCAAACACTTTTATGGGATTTACCTCAAGGAACCCCTCTAGGTGCTCACAGTGATGACCCCCCGCCCCCCGCAAAAATACTCTCCCATTTTAGGCAGAGTATGGGTTAAGTAACCATTTTGAAATACACCTAAAACATTCTCTGTACTAAGGGTCAATGCTCCAAGTGAGATGATGTTACTGGAACCAAGAGAAGGGCAATTAGACAATTCCAGCCCATCTCTCACCCATCTATCCTCCTTATCTCATCTAAAAGGAGAAGAGAGCCAAGAAGCACTTCTGAAGATCACAGTCCAAGGACTCAAGCCCACTAACTCAGAGTTAATCATAAAATTATTAAACAATTCTTTTCCTGCAATACCACTGTATCAACAGGAGCTCCAGTATAATACCAGTGAATTACAAGTGAAAGAGTAACAAGTTACAGTTTCTATTTAAGAAGGAATTTTTAGGAAAATCTAAGAAACGGAAGAAAAAAATACAAGTACACCTGAAGAAACTGAATCCTGTGGCACCTGCAGCTATAGCAAACATTACACACAGCCAAGGTCCTAACCAGATAAAAATAAAACCCTTCACTAAAGACCTATTTACCTCATTTTCTATTATCCTATATATTATGTCCAATTTTCAACAAAAGATTATAAGGCATGCTAAAAGGAAAGAAAAAAACATACAACAGAATCTGGAATGACAAAGCTAGTATCAGAACCAGATTCAGTGGGGGGTGATTAAAATGTCCTGGAATTAGATAGTGGTGATAGTTGTATAACATTTTAAACAACTAAATTATATACTTTAAAAGGGTACATTTTATAGTATGTGAATATCTCAATTAAAAATGGTTTTAAAAAAGACTTGCATGATTTATAACTTTTTCCAAAAGTTTTTCTGTACCATGCACATCCAATTTGTGAAAATTACTTCAAATTACAGAATAAAATATATCTATGGAAATTAAAACAACTGAATAATAAACTTTAATAATTATGATACTCATTGTATAATTCCCTGCTATCTGTAACTTTAACATTGAAAGAGTAAATATCTTCTTTTCCATTCAATAAATGTATACTTAATGTGTTTCTCACATAAGAAATTATACTGTTGCTGGGATACAAAAATGAAGATGACAACCCCTTCCAACTTAGTAAAAATTTACATAAATAACTATAAAAAATCTATTTGAAAAGTGCTAAGCAAAGACTACACAGACTACAGTGGAGTTCAATAATGTAGGAGAGCATTTCCGGCTGGGCTGGTCGAAGAAGGCTTCATGGTAGAGGTGGCATTTTAATTGGACCTTTATTTATTCATTTGACAAATGCTAAAGGGCTTCCTATGTTCAGGTAGTATGCCAGGTGTTAGGAAAACAAAGAGTGAAATGGATTCTTTCATTTTATTATGTGATTAAATTCAAAAGTGTGTATGTATATAGATGTGTGTGCTCATTTATGTATGTATGTATAATGAAACAAAGTATAAAGTAATGAGAGCATACATGAAGAATGAGTGGAATTTCAACAGAGAAGCATAAACCTGTTCAGTGGCTCCCTGCAACCTTTCAGAAAAATTTCAGCTGCAAAAATATGGCCTCAAGTTTGCTCATGATTAGGCCCCTAAATTCCTAGATGACTTCCACTAATGCTTCTTTATTACACCTATACTACATGTTGGCTTTTCTCTCCTTTCCTAGTTTTTCCCCATCCTTTCCTTTCATCCATCTATCAATTCATTTAAGTATTAACTGAGAGGCCACTAATGCAAGGCAAGGTACAGGAACATAGCACTGCACAGGACAAACAGGGTTCCAGTCTTTGTGGAGTTTACATTCTATACAAAGAAAAAATATTCAACTAATTAGACAACTGTTAATTATATTTGATATATGCTAGAAGGAAAAAATATAGGAGTCTATGAGTATATAATAAAAGTTTTAGTCCTTTTTTCCTTTGAGGTATTTGATTCCATGTGTAGGAAGTAGTAAATACTCTCCATGCCTTGGTAAAATACATACATGACAGAGGATGGAAGATAAACCCTTAAAACATTCATGAGCCTGTCACAATAGTGAAGTTTCTAAGAGTCACAATATTTGCACCAAGGTGAAGAGCAAGTTCCTTCATCTTGTACACTCTACCACTGAGAAAGAGACACATGGGTCATTTTGGATTCAAGAGGAAAGATATACTCTATTTGAAGGTTCTAGTTTGAGTAATTTACTGACCAACTCATAGTTTCGAATGGACCCTACAGCTCCCATGCAAGCCATTCTTGAGTCATATGACCTGGGACATGCAATGGAAGCAGGTTGGTTTGTTTGTTTGTTTTAATGTCATGGCAATACTCCTAGGGTTTTGATTTAAAAAAAAAAAAAAAAAGCCCACTCTCTTCTATTGATAAATATCATCCTTTTGAGAAATAGTTCTGGCTTGCTACTACCCTCTCAGGACTAAATACCTGACCATGGGGGATACCATGTAACCATGTAACATGAGCTATCTATGGTGAGCTTCAGTGTAGCACAATAAAGAACACAGGAAATAGGAAGAAAAATGGAGCTAGAAATGTTAAACAACAGTTTCATATTGAAAGTTAGAATTTAGCTTAGTCTTAGTTTTTACTCTTGCTTTAATAGTGATTTCCTCATCAAGCTTTCTTTATTCATAGAAATAATAATTCAATAGCGCTTCATAGTTTAGACACCATCCCATGCATTTCCTCATTGATATTATAACAATTAGAATAATGAAGTGCTAAAGATATCAACTAAATGTAAGAATAGATAGCATTTGCATTCATGGGTGGTTTCATGACTTTTTAAAAAAACAGTTTGATTATATATGAAGTTTTGTATTTGAGAAAATAAACCCACACATTGAGGCAAAGGGTATACCAAAACTCTCATGAGTTTAATGTCCATATCTTTTTAAATTCATTTATTTCTATTCCTTAATTAATTCATTCATTAAATTCTATTCCTTTTCTTAAAATGGTATTCAATACAAACTTTAAATGACATTGCTCTTGTTAACTTTTCTTAAGAATTCATAAAAAGACATTGCCATTGTATAATAGTACTATAAGAAAAAAGACTTCAAATCCATATAAATGGAGTAAATAAACAACATAACACAGTGATATAAGAATAATACAGAGCAAAGATGAAAACAGATTATAGGGTCATCCCCAGCTCTTCACAAAAGTCCTTACAAAGCATGTCATTAAAACCACCCTGATGTCTCCCTTCTCCCCAGGGCCCTCATCACATACATTATGATTTATTATAGAAAGCTGGAAACATTCAGAAGAGTATAAAGAATGTATATTTATATATCTTAATTACCTCTAGTATAGTATATTAGTAATTCTAATATACAGAGATAACCATTGTTAACATTTCGGTTTATAGCCTTCCAATATGTACATGATTATATGTATAGTATGTACAATTCATTTTGTATATATAAAATTAGGGTTGTTTTGTATGCTATGAATGCTACTTTGATACTTGTTTTTGTCATTTTATATTTACCTTTTCCCCCATCATCAAATAGTCTTCTAAAATATGAAAAACATGATTGGGGGAAGGGAATTGTAAAAATATACATTCATAGCCATGTGAACAATAAGTCAAGGCATGGTCAACTTAAAACTCAATATATTTCTAAGAAAATTAATAAGAGATATTTGGTAAATTAATAGATATATCCACATCTTTATTAACGTATAATTTAAAAAAAATTTTAAATTACAAAAATTGTATTTTGTTCTTTGTGTTACTTAGTAAAATTGTCCTATAAATATATTTCCCCTAAGAGTTTGGTATTTAGTCTTCTAGTTATAAAGAGCTTTTAAATGACCAAGAACTGTTTCATCGTATAGATTTACCATAATTTAATCAGTCTCCACTGTTGGGTATTTAAGCTATTCAGAATATTTCATTATTATCGGTAAATATATCAGATCCTTGATCATAAATCTTTGAGTACGTCAACAAAATCATGTTGAATTTATCATATTCTATTCATATATATATCAGTATTACAGGCTCATGAATTTCAAATCTTAATTTCTTTTAACTTCAGTAGTTTATCTGCAAAATTAGTAGGTTGAATTAAAGTTCTAACATCCTCCAACTCTAAAAAATTCGAGTTCTAAACATACTAGATCCTTTTAATTGAGTGAAACAATTTCTGGGAACTCTTAGAAGAAACATGAGACATAATTCACGCCTTTCGAAAGAGTACAGAGGGTGTGTGTGCTTGCATGTATGCAGATGTGGGGCAGGAATATATTGGACTATATACAAGAATTATCTTTCTAGAATGTCAATTTTACTTCAGGACTTAGGGACAAAGTCCCCGCCCCCGTTATGTGCATTAGAGTGAGATACAGAAATCATTAATTTTTAAGATAGAAATAAAGTCTTTGAAAAAAATGTTTCTATTTCTGAGTGTGTTGCTTTGAGCTCTGACCCCAGAAGTAAGGCTTTATTTCCCATTTTTATTATAAAAGGATGCAAGGCTTTGGTTAAGTGAAGAGGAAGAAGACATCAGTTAACTCAAATCATTTGATAATTGGTATCATATTCTTAGAGTAATTAAGATATTTGAAGTTGTCCTTGGTCTTGGAATCTAAATACACATTCACTTGCAGCACTGCCTCATGTGAGAACTTGTCAAGAGGTTAAGATTTGATTGTACTAATTCAAACCTGTCTCATAGTGCTGTCTTACAATTTTGTGAATCTAGCTCATTTCTGTTAAACACATAAGGCCAACGTCCATACAGCAGGTCTATCCGTCATAAATATACCCACAGGGAATATCAATCACTGGATATAGTTAATTTATATTTCTCTTTCAATGCTTTATAATTTTGTTCCAATGGTTTTTTCAAAATCAATCCTACTTTAAATGTTCTGCATATGGTCACATTAAACAAAGTATGAGTTTGCTTTTTAAAAAAAGTTTTAAAAAGATACAGATTTCAAGGATTAAGTAAAAAGAATTGAACTGAAGACAGCTAGATTTTCCTATCACAGAAGGGTAAAGTTAAATCTGATAAATGAAAATTAGAATTATGGCATTTCAAAATCGAAATGGGACTAGAAATCCTCTCCTTTCTACAAAAATGATTTGTAGCAAGATAAATAGCCACTAAGAGCAAACTGTCAGGATCCTGATTTTTTTCACTCTGTGCTCAAAGGACACCAAACATTATGCAAAATGAAGTACTACAGTTGTCTCTCCTTTTGGTGGATTGGCTCCATGACCCAGATACCAAAATCAGTAGATGCTCAAATCTCTTACAAAAATGGCGTAGTACTTGCATATAATTTATCCTCCATATACTTTAAATCATCTTTAGATTACTTATACTACCTAATATAATGCAAATGTTAAATAGTTACACTCTATTATTTACGGAGTAATGACAAGAAAAGTCTGTACAGAGGCAACTATCCTAGGCCTAACTACATAGTATACACATCAGCCACAACGTAACTTTTTTCCCAAGTATTTTCTATCGAGGACTGGTTGAATCCAGTTGGTGGAATCCAGTTGCTAGAAACGGAATCAAATGGCAAGAAGGGTCCACAACACACTCAAAATAGAAAATTTAAAGATATTTCTGTACTGTACTTCTATTTTCTATATTCAGGTGGCAAGTAAATTTTCCTTTTTTCCTATTTCTTCTTTCAAAGCGTTAAATCTGCATGCAAGCCAAAAGGCCACCAAAGTGGTCCAATTGGGACTCAGCCAGGAGTCTCAGGACTTCATCTCTACAGTTGGGAAAATAAAGCAACTTCTCAAAAGGCCACGGGACTAACTGCTGAAGAGACCTTGTACTCTGGGTGAAACTTTCCTCCAGGGACGCTTGGGGACTTGGCTGCTTCTCTGAACAGCTAAGAATTGGGATGGCAGGGTGTCCGGTCAGTCTCTGGCTCCGGGGTAGTGACTTGAGGATCCTTGCTCTTAAGCCCCGAGTAGACTAGAAATTAAAATAAAATGTATAAAACAGCGACCTGAGGTAACTTTGTAATTAAGTCAGCAGTACCTTTTCGGACGCTGAGAAACTCTGTTAGGGGTAACTGGTTAGGGGTAACAGGAGGAAGCCACAGACTAACCACACCGGCTCAGTCTCGGCGGGCGCCACGCCCCGGCCTCCAGCAAGTTGAACCGGAAGTGCTCAGCGGCGGGGGCGGAGGCGGGGGCGGG